AAGCACACTTACTTGCTTACTTACGCCTGTTACTCCCAATGGAGCATAGGCCGCCGACAGGCATTCTCCTACCCACTCTGTCCTGGGCTTTCTTTTCTAGTTCTATCCAGTTTTTGTTCATTCTTCTCATATCTGTCTGTTAAATTTAAGGTTTTCTATAATCACAGTACTATTATTAAGATGGTGGAGAAGATTTGTAGCTCAGGTAGATGATTTTGATGGAGTTTTGTTCTCTGAGATAGATGGTTTGGTTGTGGAGCTTTCATCTTCCTTCTGAACGACATCATCAATACAAACTTCGGGTACTATTATTACGAAACTGTATAGGATATATTATAAACCTTAATTCTTGATATATTTACGGTGTTCGTGTACAATCTGACAAGTATATTTCTTAGGATGTATGTATCAAGTTACGCAGAACAACATACAATAAGTTACATGCCAGCTAATAGATGTGTCAAAAATTCAGTAGCAGATGAAAGGGAAGAAATGAGAACTCTTATAAAAAACTAAGTGTTCGACGAGCACAGCAAAATCGGAATCGGTTGTTGAAATTTTTTAAAAAAAAGCAGTTACACTAATAAATAAGTCCTGGGTTCGAATCCCGAATGCGGAATCGTGGATGCACACTCCTCAAGTGTCCCAAATTAGGATTAAACAGACGTCTAATGCTTCAAAGTTTTCAGTGTGAGTCTAGCTTAGACCAAATTGTGAATTCAAGTATTAGAATTACCACCATCTCCACAAATCCTAATTCGAATAATTCATTGCTTAAATTAAAGTCATTTTTACATACAATTTTCAGCCCATCCGTTTTTCTACATTCTTTATGTATTCAGTATCAAGTAATTTTTTTAGTTCATTTGGTGGGTAAATGCTGTGTGTAACTGTTGTGTTCGAGAAAGATTTGATAATGAGTAACTTCTGGGGACTATTTATGGACTGTCAGTATATATATATTCTCATTACATAACTTAAATAACTACATTATATACATTTATACTTATTTTATTATAGGCTTTCATTTGACCTATTGACTATTATCATATGATTTACCATCATTAAGTTATCTTCAATCTATTAGTTACAGTCTCTCACAATCACAAACACTTTTGGCTTGGTCTTGCATTATTCTCATTTTCTATTTTATGGTATGGTGCTGTCTAGTTTGCATATGTATAAACCATTTGGTTCCAGCATGTTGGACAGTTGAATTTCATACTGAAATTATTGACAAATTTTTATACTACTTAATATTTTAATAATAGTTTAATGATTATAACTGAATTTTATGATCAGATGGTAGTATTTGCACTTCAATTTATGATCAATTTTGAAACTGTTTTTGGGTGAAATTCTATTTTGGGAGAATTCAAATTATACTGAGAAGCCGTCTATAAATAAATAAGTTAGCTAACTGTAATTATTCGAAATTGCACTCGGAAATAGTGAAACTATTCATTTTTTGATGGATTTACCAAATAAAACTTGTCAGTGATTGGGTGTCTATAATTCATACAGTATGATATTTCACAGTCAGAACCATGATGAAAATCTGTCACCTTATCAGCGATGTGTAATATCTCCATGCATTCACAGTAGTAAATAACCATATACTGTAGGAGGTTAATTTCACATTGGTATTCAGGAGAACCAGGCCTCATTTAGGATCTCACATCTTGAACAACACAGCTTCATCCTGTAGTATAACCATGTAGGTAACAAAATCCTTCGTAGATCATTTTTCAGACATATCTTAGGATAAATATATTTGGCCTGAAAAATGACTTGGAGACATCAAACAAGTGTATTGTACTATACTAAAATATATGAGTAGATCTGTTGGATGACTGATCTCCTTACAATGTCACACCGACACGTTGATTCCAGTCATCCTGGATACTTCAAACATTGTGTGGATTGTCTTTTTTTGAACTTAATATAATGATCTCACCATCATTTTAATAAGCAAACTGAATCTTTTATTCTTTACTGTTTAGTTTTACACAGAGAATCCATTAACATAATCTTAAAAGAAATAATGTAATACATCAGTTATATTAATGTTCAACTATTCGGTTAGAAATCATACTTATTATGACAGACGTGATGCTGCAACTACTTTGCAAATAAAATGCCAATATGGCACAAGGTTTCACTGAGTAGTGATCAGTATCATGTTTATCTTTAGTTCTTAGCTCCGATCGAATTCTATCGATCAAGTTACAATATGATTAGTAAATTATTTGACTTGATATTCGTAATGTCATGACCTACTGACAACTTACGACTGAAAGAAAAGCTAGATCCATCGACATATCCTCTTACTATTAACTATTGAACAATTAGTTCATCTATCAGAAACATTAATAAGTTCTTAGTTAGGGTCAACACTATTCTGTAGTTGATATTCAGGACTGCAAGTGTTCGTTCTCTGTTGTCGAATATATATATTCTGAGAGGATTGACTGTTTGTATTTTTTCACTGAAATCGTTTTTGTTAAATCTTACTTACTTACATACTCCTGTTACTTCCAATGGAGCATAGGCAGCCGACTAGCATTCTCCAACCCACTCTGTCCTCGGCCTTCTTTTCTACATTTATCCAGTTTTTGTTCATTCTTCTCATGTCTGTCTCCATTTCTCGGCGTAATGTGTTCTTTGGTCTTACTCTTCTCCTCTGGCTTTCAGAGTTTTAAGTGTGTGTGAGTAGGGTAAGAAATCAGCATACATACGATCATTTAAAAAACAGTCAGGATTAGTGACAAAGTAAGAATTTGGCTTAAGAATGAATAGATTGATGACATCAGTGACTAGAATGACATATATGGGATTGAAATAGTACCAGCCCCTACAATCTAAGACTAAGATTTTTAGCGATGGGAAATTACAGGGTATAAATGTAGGTGATTTCCCTTTAAAAAACTCTGGTATATTCAGATATTCAGTAAGATACTCAGTCTTATCTGGGTTTCGCAATAGTTACTATTTATCAGCAAATGCTTTTACAGAATCTGAACCAGCGTCACCTGGTGTTACATTAAAAGATATTATCACTAAGCTATTTGAGCTGCGAGTGATCTTTCATAGGACTGAGTTATTTACAACTGATCGATCTCAATTTAATAACTTATGTAGTGTTTAAGCAGAGATGGATAGTGGCTAGCAGTGGAATCCAGTGTGACGCGCGTTTCGTCCTATTTGGGACTCGTCAACTGGATGTACCTGCATCTGAGTTGATGTCCACTATAGGACTCGAACCCAGTACGGTTCGCTTCAAACGCCATCGCCTTATCCACTCGGCCACTTGCTTGTGCGATGGGGTTTGAAGCGAGGGTACTGGGTTTGAGTCCCAGAGTGAACATCAACTCAGATGCAGGTACATCCAGTTGACGAGTCCCAAATAGGACGAAACGCGCGTCACACTGGATTCCACTGCTAGCCACTATCCATCTCTGCTTACCATGCTTGTGAATTAAGGCTATATTGAGGCAATACGCACAGTAGAGACTGACCAGTTGCAGTCCTAACAAATCGATGGGAAGATTCAAACAAACAATACTGAATGAATTTATATAGTGTTTGTTTAGTTTTTTGTGACAACTAAAAATCTCTCAAACATTCTGCACTATGATTATCTAACCTCAGAGCATGGTGTACACAATTTTAAGTCATTAAAACTAGTGATTATTTTGGTGAATCAAACAATAAATGGGGTTGGATAAGACTGAACGTCAAGACAGTCCTACTGTACGGAGCTGATATGTGGAGAACTACTACATCCATCATCAGGAAGGTACAAGTATTTATAAACAGTTGTCTATGCAAAATACTCAACATCCATTGGCCGGATACTATCAGCAACAGAGTTTTATGGGAGAGGACAAACCAGCTTGCAGCTGAAGAGGAAATCAGGAAAAGACTTTGTAAGTGGATAGGACATACATTAAGGAAATCACCAATGTGCATCACGAGGCAATCCCTAACTTGGAATCCGGAAGGGGAGCGGAAAAGTGGAAGGTCAAAGAACACATTACGCCGGGAAATAAAAACATATATGAAAAGGTTAAATAACAACTGGAAAGAACTGGAAAGGATTGTCCAGAACAGAGTTGAATGGAGAATACTGGTTTGCGGCCTATGCTCCTCGACAAGGGGTAACAGGCGTAAGTAAGTAAGTAAGTAAAAGTGTGAGAGCCAATAGTACAGTCAAATGATAACTTTTGATTTAAATATTTCAAATATTTGGAATGAACTATAGATCAAGTTAACTAAACTGGCATCTATTGTGAACTAAACTTTTAAAATGTCAAAGTCATTTTGATTCTGATGTCGTTTAGCTTTCACTATTAGTCAAGAATGATCTGACATTTTTCATACTAGCCAAGATGAACAAAGGTTCCTCATTCACTTCCGTCAGACTCTTTTGTGTATTGTTTTATACTACTTATCAATATTAAGTAAACAGTTGTATTCTTAAAAAGTTTTATGCATGTATATCGTGTAATATTCTACAACATTGACATGTACTTATAACATTTATTGTATTAATCATTATAATTACTTTCTCTCAATTCTTGTAACAGTTATTGTCAATTTGTGCAATTTTTTAATCATTTTTTAAATGCAATAGTTTTTCACAAGGGGGTTTTGTGGAGATTTTTGTAATTTTTATAGATGAGATCATGAGTTAATTGAAGCTAGACCACCATGGAAAACCGAGAAGCACTGGACGGCCATTCGTCCTATTGTGAGACTCCTCAGCAGTGCGCATCCACGACCTTGCCTCATGAGATTCAAACTCAGGACCTATCAGTCTCGCTCCAAAGCACTTAACTGCACTCCACAAAAACCCTTTATGATATTTTAAACATTGGGATACCCTTTTTCCTTGTTATAATTACAATCAATATATATTAAAACAATACCATATGATTAATATAACCTATTGACATATTAGACATAATATAACTTTAAATTAACCAATCATATTTCTCATTGAATATTGTTATTATTTAAAATTGACCAATCATAGAGAAGAATGATTTTCCTAAACAAAACTTTCTAAATAACCCAGTTTTATTGTTATTGTTTAGTTACATCATCATAATTGAAGTGGAGAATGTATTAATGCATATCTATCTATTATCCATGGTAAACAATATAAACATAATTTCAAGTATACAATAGAACAGATTGAATCATGAATGAATCAAGAAAACATTCAATATATGATCTAACAAAAGATGATCATGATCATAATCATCATTCAACATCTTATTCAGATGATGAATATACTACTAAATTAACTACTAAAAAACCTATTAGGAAATCTAGTTTCTCACAATTATTATTACGTAAAGTATTAAATCTTTCTAAAAGATTTAAATATTATATTATACATAGTGTTGCATTATTTAATGAAGATTTATATGGTTTATCATGGTCAGAAGCTCATGATCTATTACAATCAACTTATGGAATAACTATAGAAACCAATGAGAACACATCATCAATCAATTGTAGAAAATCTAGACATTTTAGTACATCTTCTATACCGACTTACTCTATTACTACTACTAATAGTAGTACTCCAATTATTTCACGTAAATATTCAGATATTAATTCATTAAAAAAACATTCAAGATTATATCAATTAGATAAACCATATTTTATTCAATGTAAATCAATGGAAATCAATAAGAAATATGAATGAATATTTGCCCTTCCCCCCCAAAAAAACACAAATCAATCAAAAATCAATAAAACCATGAATGATTGATTATTGATTATTTGATTAATCAATTTAATCATAGAAACATGAAATTGTTTAAATGAACTATCATTAAATGAAGTGAATAACTAATAGAATATCAATGAAAAAAAACTTTAATGGAATTAAAAACATTATGTAATAATATTAATGAGGGGGGGGGAGAAGTATAAGTACCGGATTGATTGTATGATCTAAAACTAAATGAATTCATCAATCCTTATCTTATTGATTGATTGATTTTCGATATAAGAAATAATGGTGATGATAATGATGATGATGATGGCCAAAACCATCTGAATATTGTATAGTTATCTTTGGTAATATGAAATAAAAGTTTTGTATATATGGATAGATAATATGTATTTGATTTGTGAATGCTTACTGGTTTATGTTTTTTTCATAGTTAAACTGTTTCCTATGGGATGGGGATGCTGACCCCAAACTCAAGTGTCCCTCTTTACTTAGGCTTGAAACCGGTAGTAGCTTTAGAAGAGCTACATAAACAGAGTTATACTATATGGAGCTGAAATGTGGAGGACTATTACAAACATCATCAAAAATGCACACATATTTTTAAACAACTGTCTACTTAAGATACTGAATTACCGTTGACCGGATATTATCAGCAACAACCTATTGTGGGAGAGAACAAACCAGGTTCCAGTTGAAGAAGAGATTAGGAAAAGATGTTGAAAGTGCATAGGGCATACATTGTGGTAATCACTAAATTGTATGACGAAACAAACGCTAAGTTAAAATCGTGAAGGGAAACAGAAAAGAGGAAAACGAAATAACGCACTGTACCGAGGATTGGAAGGACGAATAGCAACTGGAAACAACCGGAAGGGATTGCCGACGACAAAGTTGGATGAAGAATGCTGATGGGCGGCCTATGATCTTCCATGAGGAATAACAGGCGTAAGTAAGTAAGTAAATCATGAATGAATGGGAATGTAAACAGACTGAAATCAAATTTTTGTCAAGATAATTAATTTAATTTTATGATTTGGAATCTAGTTAAACTGCGGTAAGCGTTCATCTGTAAGACTTTTAGGGATAATCAGCCCCTTTGTGAGAAAAAAATAACTTAAGTTAGTACAAATACTCATTAGTTCATAATCGCTAAACGTTATATCAGCACAGAGAAATGACATCAATAAAATGCATAACAAAACAATAGTCATAGAGAACGTGGTTTCAAAAAACAAAAAAAAAATTAGTGAAATAAACCATATGACCATATGAGTCCCAGGGTGAATATCAACTCTAAGATGCAGGTACATCCAGCTGACTAGTCCCAAATAGGATGAAACGTGTGTCACACTGGATTCCACTATCCATCTCTGCTTGACATAAAATTAAATTTGAAGAACCAGGGGGGGGGGAAGATAATGAATGAGCGTTACTGTGACATTGTACTAAATTTCAGGCTCTAGAAATAAGATATATTGAGAGTACAACACTTCTCATAACTGATCATAGGGCTGAATAAAATGATAAAAAACTCCATTCAGGAGCATTTACTAGATATTCATTACTGAATTGATACAAAGTTAGTTGGAAAGAAGTTTTGTGGAGATTTTAATAATTTTATATCATTGAAATCATGAGTTAATTGAAGCTATACCACTATGAAAAACCTGGAAGAACTGCTTTAAAGCCGTTTCGTCCTATTGTGGGACTCCTCAGAAGTGCGCATCTACGATCCCACCTCGTGAGATTCGAACCCAAGAGTTATCAATCTCCCATGAGAAAGCTTAACCCCTAGACCACTATCTATCTCTATACTAGTGTAGTATTTATCAATCTTTTAATGAACTTAGAAATTTTCGTTATTCCATAATATATTCATAAACTTTGTATACAACTCCTAGAGGGTAATTAACGTTATTTAGTTTGAAGGAAAGAAGTCGTAAATCAAATAGATAACCTTGATAATGGTATTGTGTTCTCTGAACTAAATGGTTTAAATGTATGGAGTTTTCAGGATCAATTTCAACAACACAAATAACAGTATCTTTCTATACTAAGCATAGTATTACATATACTATTGAAATAAAGAAAACAATTCATTGAAGGTATGGTCATCATATTTTAAGTTCAAGTATCAACTCAAATCAACTGTCAACTACTTTCAAAATGAGAATCTTCAATACAAACGTCAAAACAGTCTTACTGTACGAAGCTGATATGTGGAGAACTACTACATCCATCGTCAAGATGGTACAAGTATTTATAAACAGTTGTCTATGCAAAATACTCAACATTCAATGGCAGGATACTATCAACAACAGCATTTTATGGGAAAGGACAAGCCAACTTCCAACTAAAGAAGAAATTAGGAAAAAACGTTGTAAGTGGATAGGACATACATTGAGGAAATCACCAATGTGCATCACGACTCAATCCTTAACTTGGAATCCGGAAGGGAAGCGGAAAAGAGGAAGGCCAAAGAACACATTACTCCAGAAAATAGAAGCCGATATGAAAAGGCTGAATAGTAACTGGAAAGAATTGGAAATTATTGCCCACGACAGGGTTGGATGGAGAATACTGGTTTGCGGCCTATGCTCCTCGACAAGGGGTAACAGGTATAAGTTAGTAAAATCAACCTTACAAAAGTATCTCATAACTTTTCCTGTAACGAAAACTTTTCATAAATTTCCTTTGAAAAAAATGCTATTGAGTTGTCAATTGGATCAAATTTCTGGAGTAAAGAAAAACCGTACTCAACAAAAAGATACTTGTAGAGAGAGAGAGAGGGAGCACGAATTGATTGAAGTAGAAGCTATGAACCATCAGATACCATTTCAATAATTTAAAGGTTAAGCAACTACTGTTTGGATGTGAAAGTACTGCATTTAATTTCTAAAAATTATGTGGTGAGAATCACTTGAAAATCTTTTAAAACGGTATAGTATATCCTAGTTTTGTTAGTGCTTCAACTGATATAAATTGTACCAAGAAACCACTTAAAAATCAATACAAAAAACTGGTATACTACAATTGTGGATTTTTCAAGTTAGATTTGTAATCAAACTGAATTCAGTTAATGAATTATAATCAACCTAAAGACTTCTACCTCACATTTGTGTTGATGACGTCGTTCAGAAGAACTATGAAAGCTTAACGACCAAACTCTCTAGCTCAGACAACAAAATTCCATCAAAAACTAGTAAAATAAAATAATGACCACTGACAAATAGATCAAAATAATAGTAGTACTGTCAAAGGAGAGGAGCAGTGGGATGTGCTGCCGCCGGTCGGACATCGTTTGGAGATGAGTCAGCAGGTCTCTGAGGTGTAGGTGATGAACGTCCTGGGTGCCGCGTGGACATGGGATTTTGATGACTCGGCGGGTCGACGGAGCTGTGGAGGTCAACGCGCCGCAGACTCGACATTTTGGCACAGACTGCAGAGAACAAGAAAGTGAAACGGTGAGCAAAACTATTACAAGAACGATGGCTAAATGGGGGGGGGAGACGAGTGTGGTTTGTGCTATTGATGTCTAGAGATCTAAGTAGTATGTGTTATCAAACGAAAGTGAAATACCTGGAAGCAGAAAGTTAAGAAGACGGTAGAAAAGACAACGAGGACAGAGAATGTTTGATGTGAAAACTAAAGTGAAAATGAAGTCGGAGACAATTGACTGATTTTTTACAAATGAAGTATTTACTGTATGATTCTCAGATTTTACAAAGTGATTCTGTAGTTTTGTGTTCTAATACTTTCTATTGTCCCCACTGTTGTTATCGTTCACTATAGTAGCATAAATAATAATTAAATAAAGTATTGATCCAGGAAAAGGAATCAGGAATAAAGCATTTATGAAAGAATACTAAAAATCAATATTTAGAGGAAGATAAAGAATTAAGTTGTCTACCCTACTATGACCAATTCTTAGATATTTTATTCAACGTTTTCAACTATCCATAGTAGTTTATCAAGTTGATTCTAGTTAGATAGTTTGTACTCACCAAGATCATTCAATTCAATAGTCAATCATTTTATAAATTGATGTTATTACATTTATCAAACACTAACAATACACAACAATGAAAACAACACAATGTTTATGAAGTTCTTCTATTACAAGTAAAAATCCGTAGAAGAAAATAATCAATATTCACGGGAGTTGATTAATGCGATGACATTTCAAGAATGGAAAGGTGGATATGGGAGCTGAGATATGTTGATTGAATGAAGAGATAGATTTGTATTTCTCTACATTGTCATAATCTTCCTGTTTCCTTCTAATGATAATGGATACATTTGTGTCACATACATGATAACGTTTTACTATGAATAGTAGTATGATTAACAATGGAAATGCATAGAAGACATACAATTTGAATAATAGTGAGATTAAGATGGTCTTATTTGGTTAGAATGAAGGCAGATTCAACAGTTTTGTGTATCATGATAATTTGTAGTGTATTGTTATTTTATGTTATTTGAACACATAAATATTGGTACAAAGGGGAACCAGATATATATGCGCCACACATATCTCATTTGATTTGTGTGACGGCTGGGATACTGCCCAGGTGCCGAAACCGAAACAGGTGGTTTTCTTAAGGGGCAACACTCGGAGCCTTTGACCTAAAGATCTGATCCACAAGGCAGTGGAGCATCGTGAGGAGATGCAGTCCCATGGTAGACGGTGACCGAAGATTGATTCATACGTCATTTGTTCCCTCAGGATACTGGAGACAGCCCATGTGCACCATTGATTTGGAATGAGGGTTTTCCAACTACCCTAGGTGAACTTTCCATGTCCACCAACCCGGTTAAAGTACAAGACATTCGATTTTCATCCTCTCAGTTTCTTAAACAACACCGCCGCCACGAGAAGGCAGTGAGTAGGACTTCCCTGACAGAGGCTTTATACGCGTGGCCATCTGAGAGCATTTGGAGAAGGAGCGCGGAATCTCTGCACTCTCAGCCGTACCAGGGCATTTGGGGACATCCAATGGTATTAATGATGTCTAACTTCAACCAGTCCGCGAAATTGATGCTTTATACTTTCCTGTTTTGACATTCATATTACTAACTTAGACAATAAGAATTCATTATTAAATACTGAATAAAAATATAAACTTACAAATAATAAACTAATTTGTTTCACAACGTTAAAATCATCAGTCAATTGAAGCTAGACGACCATGGAAAACCTGGAAACACTGGACGACCTCATGATTTCAACTATATTAAATTACTAAAATCTCCAGAAAACCCCTTCTAATAATGATTATATGCCCACTAGTGACTGACTTCATAAGGTATTTCCTGAAGTTCTAGTGAGAAACAGTGACCAGTGAAGTTCAACCAGGTCTGTTGTGAGATATCAA